ATCCATCATAATATATAGTTACAATTTTTCATGTGATGAGAACTTATAAGAAAGACTTCCTTGAGTTTTAATGCAACTTTAGATCATTGTTCTTCCTTTTTCCCTAAATACCTCCAGCTTTACATCTCAGTTTGTTATACTATATTACCATCTACCCTTTGTCACTGCATTCACCTGCTACCTCCCAGGTCATGCTCCCTCATTTCCTGATGAGGTTAACTCCTGGCTCATTATTGCTCACCCAAAAACTATTCAACTCTTGACAATATCTAAATAGATGATCCTTCCCAAACCCTGGCCTCTCAGTCCCTGAGAATTCTTTCCTCCAATGATCTTATAGTCACTCATCTCATACTCTAGTCTAGACTGCTTTATTACTAATAACAGCACCCCTCCCCTATGAGATCAGTGCCTTACCTTCCACTCACAACTACCTCTTATTTTTCCAGCTCTTTCTCTCGTTACCCTCCTCCAACACTGTTTCAACCCTTCTGGGACCTCCAACCAATCAATCAACTTTCTACTGTTCCGCACCCCACATAATGGCTTCACTCCCTCCTTACCAAGCTTAAATCACATAATCAATCGTTATAATCATTCCCTCGCGTGCACCTTTGAGTCCCTCTCTCTTTTCCTAGTTCTTTGACAAGTTCACAGCCCTGACTAAATCTAACTTCCCATCTATTCTATGTCTTCACTCATGTGGCTAAACAGGGTTAAAGAAAAACACACAGCCATGGTGACTAGCTCTACCTTAATTTCATGACCATAAATCTCAATGGCCCTTTAATGTGGCTGGCAATCAGATATCCCCTATCCATCATATCACGATTCCCATTCATTCTCATTCTCATTCTCTCTCCCTTCCTCCCTCCTTTCCTCCCTCCCTCCCTCTCTCACTTTGGCTCCATTCTGATTCTCACTGATGACCTGGCTTCTCACATTACAGATAAGACAGAGTGGGAAAGGAACTTCTTAGCTCCTCATCATACTGCTAACATCCACATATTCTCCCTTCCCACCTGTTATCACAGATAAACTATTACCTGACACCCATATCACACGTTCTCCTGTCTCTCAACATCAGGAATGATCTGCTGGAGATCTGCTATTTTGAAAAGAAACTCTTTCTTGACCTTACCTCTCCTCCAGCTGCTCCCCTATTTTTTCAGTCTCCTCCACAGCAAAACTGCTCAAAAAAAGTCATCTATATTGACAATATCCAATTGATATCCTTCCATTCTCTCTTAAACCCACTTTATTCAGGGTTTTATCCCTACCACTTTACCAAAACAGCTCATCAAAATCACCACTGATCTTGACTTCACTAAAATCAATGGCTAATTCGTATCCTTTGGCTTATTTGACATTTAATCTAGGTAATGCAGCGACATTTAAACTAGATAATCACTCCTCTCTTTTTGATAACCTTTCTTTACTTAATTTCCAAGACACATAATTTCTGGTTTCTTTCCATTCTTTCTTTGTCTTCTTTGCTGCTGGTTCATGTTCTCTCTCACCTTTACTATCGGAGGCCCCCAGATTTCAGCTCTTAATCTTCTCATCTCCATCTTTGCTTCTTTTTTGCCATCTCCTTTAATCTCACTGCTTTAAAGACCATTTATATGTGAATAACAGTCAATTTTATATCTTCTTCCCAGGCCAATCTCTCAAACTCCAGACATGTTTATCCCATCACCTACATGATCTTGCCAGTTCTCAATATTATCATGTTCACAATTAGACTTCTGATCTTGACTCCATTTCTGCCCCAAATCCGTTTCCCCTGCAGCATTCTCCATATCAGCTGATACCAATTCAATTTACGCAGACAAAAAAACCTTGGAACCATCCTTAGCTCTCTTTTCTCTTTTACCCCATATCTAATCCATTGGGAAATCCTGTTGGCCCAACTTTAAAATACTTCCAGAACCCAAATTATCACCATCACTTCTACACATACTCCTACCCCCTAGTCAGAGCTACTATCGTCTTTCGACTAAATTGTTATGGTGGCCTCCTACCTGACTTCTCTCCTCTCACCCTAACTAGTCTATTCTCAAACAATAAATAGAATGATCCTGTTAAAATATAACTCAGACCATAAGATTCTTCTGCTCGAAACCCTGTAAGTTACATGGGGTTCAAAGTCCTTACAATGGCCTACAAGGCCCTGTCCCATCTGATCCTTCTGACCTCTTTAGGCTGATGTTTCCCCCTCACTCCAGGCTCAGGGGCCTCTGTGCTGTTCCTCAAACTACCAGACTCATCCTATCCTAGGGCTTGTCCACCTGCTGGCTAGCCCTCCGCTGCAATTAACTTGCCATCTCACGGCTTTCTCAGCTCTTTTTGGTCTGTGATCACACATCTCCTCTACAATGCGGCCTACTCTGGCCACCTAATCTACAATTGCAACAGGCAATCCTACCACCTGATTCCCCTACTCCTTCTTTTATCCATAATATTTATCTTCTTCTTAGGCACTACATAATTTATCTATTTATTATGTTTATATATTGTCTGTCTCCCCCAGCTAGTATGTACACTCTCCGAGGGCAGGGACCTTTGTCTGTTTCACTCACTGATGTATCCCAAGTACTTGAAGAATGCCTGGTGATTTAAAAGGCCTTTAATAAATCTATGTTGAAAGAAAGGTAGGTAGAGCAATTAGAAAACTATTATCATTTGTCAGTGATACCCCAATAGAGCTAGAAAAAAATTGTTTAAGAAAGCTTTTGTAACAGTCTGAAAATAATGAAAGTTCAGTTCAGTCATACCCTACAAATATTTATTAGAAATACAAACATCAATAATCCAGAATTCCTGCCCTTGAACACCTCATGGAGAGATGGACAGGTAATTTTAAAATGTTGAAAGATAATGGAACAAACCAGGACATCCTAAAGAGAGCAGCATGAACAAAAGTTGGGAGACATGAAACAGTATCATGTGTTCGGAGAGCTGAGAGCAAGTCAGCCTGATTAGATGTCTGATTAGTCTGATTAATGGCCTAGTTGATGTGCCAATTAGGCTAGACTACAGTCCCCAGGTCTCGATGAACATTAATCTAGGTATTGCTACAAAGGGGACTTGTAGATGTGGTTAAGGTCCATAATCAGTCAAAATTAAGGAAGGAAGATTATCCTTAAAAGCAGAGCAGTGGCCTCCCTGACGAAGAAATTCTGCCTACAGACGGCAGCTTCAGCTATGCCCAAGAGTTCTGGGCTGCCCTTCCTGATGGCCTGCTCTGTGGACTTCAGACTTGCCTAGACGAACCTCATAAACATGGAAGCCAAGTCCTTGTATATCTCCAGTACATATCTTCTACTGGTTCTGCTTTTCTGGTTGAACCCTGTGAAGAATGAGAAGCAACAGGGGCTAAATCATGAAGGACATTTGTTTTTGACAAGCTGAAGGGCTTGAACTTTGCCCTAGGTTAATGATATGCTCAGGGTGGAGATGAACCATTCTGGATTTGGAGTAAAAGAAAGAGCCGTACAGGAGACAAGAAGAGAGAAATGCTGGAGACTGGGAAACCTGGAAAGTTACATGTGAAAGAAGAGAGAGGAGAATCGAGAAAGGAGACTGCCATAGAAGCCAGGGAATGTTGTTTTGGGAAGAAGTGGTGGTTCACCCTGGTGCATCAGAAGAGTCTGACACTCACCACATTGTGACAAAAGGAGCTCACAAAGGACCTCAAGAATAGCTGTAATGGAGTAGAGTAGCTAGAAACCAGGTTGTGTTAGGTTGAAGCAAGAAAGAAGAGGAAACAAGGGTAGATAATTCTTTGAGATGTTTGGCTTAGAAGAGAGGAGGGAGAAGTGGCAGAGGAGAGAAACAGATACAGTGTCAAATGAAGATAATGAGAATGGGAGAAGCTTAACCCGTTTTTGTAGAATGAGGGGAAAGAACCAACAGTCAGGAAGGGGAAAGAGATGAGAACGAGGGGACACATTCTCCCGAGCAAGGCTCAAGAGAGGGGTAGCCAAGGCCACAGGTGAAGGCTCGTTCAAGGAAACCAGGAGGACCATCATCATGTAAAAACTGAAAAAAATGAGAGAAGGACAAGAATACACGGAAATGTATTTGGAGATGTAGAGTAAGGGATCTGTAGTAATTTATGCCCAATGGCCCCTGGGTTTCTCAGCGAAGTTAGGAAATAAGTTTATCAATTGAGAGTGAGGATGGGTGTGATATGGCTAGAGATGGAGGCTTGGCTTTATTTGGGGTTGGTTGGTCTTCTACCAGGACATTACACAGAGGAATCAGGATTGGGTGAGAGTTAGGCTAAATGACTTCTGAATTCCCTTGCGAATCAATGTTTCTATGAGTCTGATGGATAGAAAAGTTATCTTCTCCACTGATGTTTCTTCAGCACCTCAAACAATGCCTGGCATACAGCAGGGACTCAATAAATTTGTTGAATGAATGTATATCTAAATAAACTTCTCATCCAAACGAGCAAATAAAACCTTTTAGTTGGAATGACCTGCTGTGATATAGACTCATTTTGATATTTTTAGTATGTTAAAATGCTTCCCAAAGCCTTGAAACTTAACATGACTCCAATCTTCTCCCCTAATCTTAGAAGGCTGTAGACAAGTCAACCAGATTATTGTAGGCTTCAAAGTGGGCATTTTCAGCCTGATGTTTTTCCCTGGGTTATTCTAGAACAAATTATCAAGATAATGACCAAATCTCTCTTCTGTTTTGTTATACAATAAGCTTTTTTGAACTGAGCAAGTATATTCATTCAGATTCTACCACTGTAGGTAGAATGCAGCCTTAACCTTTTCTTATACATCAAGCTCTCGCTCCTCTTATTAGTCTTGGTGACACTTACCACTGAATAAAGTGAAGAGAGGGGTAAAAAAAACAAGACTCTTTTAAAAAGCAAGCTTAACTGGAAGTTATAGTACAGGTAGATAATAAAAATATAACATGGGCTGTCTTGGGTTATGGCTAACACAGGTCCCTGTTGAACTTTCCGCATGCATTACCTGGGTGGAAGGTTTTGGTTTTCCCATTAGTGATTCCAGAAGAGGTTGCCTCCATTTTTATTGACCTTCTACCTGGTGGGAGTGAGGAATGCCTGACCACGGGCAGGCGACGTGACCCTGGGCGGCTTGCCACACTTCGCCGTTGATGGATTTGCAAATGCTTTTCAGCCCCATGAATAGATAAACTTAAACCTGGAATGAGAAATAGCACCATTATAATGAAGAAGTCAGTTCAGAATGGCTAAAATGCCAGATTATTTTCTGGCATGAAATCCAGAAAGCATAAGCAACTATGTTTCAAATAATTAAAAGATGCCAGGGATGCTAGAATCGTGATTCCAATCGATATTCACATTATATTATTTTACTGAACACTGTTGCATTCAAAAGTGGACTTCTTCAATTATCATAACAGGATCTTTACGAACATAAATCCAATGAAATATGGTATTAAAATTCTTTCTAAAATCCTAGAAAACTATGCACATATTTGGCCTCTTATTTTAGGAGCTCTGAGGAATAAAATGTATTGCTGGGGTATCTGGAATTTCAATAAAACCAAGGAACTTTCTCCATGGGACACATGTAGGGGCCAGAGTTTGAAGACTGAACTCAGATTTACATCTCAAATAACCTTAGAATTATGTACCTTTTCAGAGCTATTTTCTGAAAAAATTTCAAATATATCAAAAGGAAAGAATAGTATAATGAATCCCATATACCCATATACTCAGCTTCAACAGCAATATTTTTCCATAAAGCTGAAAAAAATTTTTTTTCCAATCTTGCTTCATCTATCTCACTCCCTTTGTTGTTGATTTGCTTTTTAGGTGCTGGAGTAGTTTAAACCCCAGCTATCAGGTCAATCTCATCAAAAACAATACTGATTGTACCAACTTATATCAATGATATCAACATGGATCACACCTATTGATACATATGATATACATTAAATTCTGAGTTCAAAGGTATTTTTCACAAAAATACTCATTGATCAACATTGGAAGTTGCTAAAATACATTTCATTACTCAGAATATTGATAAATAAAGGGGGGGAAAAGCAAGCATTTGTCTTGCCTTTCATTAATCATATTTCAAGTTAACCAAAGGGATAAAAAAATTTTTTTGCACAACAGAAGAGTCTCAGCTAATAAATTACTGATGAAAAAGAGAATTTCAGAAGCCTCAGTAAGATATGAAAGGTGATATGTTTTGTCCAAAGAAGCACTGTGAGGACAGAGCTAGAATTCAAACTCATGGATGACTGAATCGAGATCTATTCTTTTAAAAAAAAGCCAAGGAAAAGTGTTGGCCTTATCAAATGCCAACCAGCCAGTGGGCCTTGGTCAAGAATCAGGCCATGTGACAGGGGAAAGCTAAACTTCACCAAATTACAGAATTTTTTTATTAAGAGGAGAATCTTTTGAAACTTGAATACAGGTTACTTTAGTGGTTAGCTAATTAATCTGGTACCTTGTACAGATGAGGAAACTAAGCCTGGCAGGGTTTCCATATCTACGGCTGGTTCACATATTACCAGTACTGAAAAATAACAGTGAGAAGTCTACTAAAAACCCAGATGTGAGGCGGGGGGTGGTGGGGGGATTGGAGCGGAGCAGTCTGCTCAGAGGTAAACTGTGAATTAGCAATCACGTGGGTCAGAAGTATAAAGCGTTAACTTAAATTTCCCCAAGGGGGGAAAATGAACATGACCTGGGCCAATTTGCAAATTCTAACAAATTTTAAGAAAAAATAAATCACAATGAGCTTTGGTCAGTCAAGGAAGCATAAAAACAAAACCAGTGTAATAGAGACAAACATGGGTAATGCTCATCCAGGCAACAGCCCCAGAGTTCAAGATTTCTTAATGCACAGACAGACAGTCCTGACACATAATTTTGCTCTCCTTTATCCACTTAACCACCCTCTCTGACAGTGCTCACCAGAACCTGTGGATCAGGATTTGGCACCTAGCACAGGAGAGAGTAATCACACTAGTGGTTCTATCTACCTGGCAGGCTGGGTTTTCAGGGTGGGCTAAATGGGTTTCCACACATCTACTTTCTTGTGAATTGCTTACTATGAGTCTGCCTTCAGAATCTGTTTTCTAAGTCTATATATTATGAGCCTGAGCCTTGGTTGTGGGAATTTCACCCAGGTCAGATCTGCCATGCTGGGAGGTTGCCCCTTGGGAGGTAAGCCTGGCAGCCTTCCCTGGGCAAGGCATGTCCTGCTCTGATGCTCAGGTACCTGGGAAAGTGTGTGCTTTCAACTCCCAGTGTCTCTCTCTATGGGCAGAGCTATCACCACAGCATCAGCCTGATATTCTTTCACCCCACATTTCCACAGAGGTGGAAAAGAAACATCTGCAGACCCATGAAGTTTCCAGAAGAAGGCAGACAAGGTTTTCGGATGACAGATGAAAGGGTTGGGAGAGATGTTTTAAGTCAACATCAGACACAGTACGTGCGGTCTTGGTCTGTGAAGACAAAACAGACCACACTCCCCAAAACAATTCTTCTCGTCCCTTTTTGCAGAGGACGATTGGGCTGAAGGGACCAGAACTGTGAGTCAGTGTGGCACTTCTACCTCTTATATAACTTCTTTCAAAAAAAAAAAAAAACACAAAATGACAGAAATGAGAATAAAAATTACACAGTGGGAACAAATGGCAGAGGTACTCAAAATTGTTGAATTTCATGTTTTGAAAAATACAATAATGGAGATCAAGGGGAAAATGTTAAAAGTAAAAAAGAATTCGTGAGTACAGCCAGGCGAAGATGAATACGAGGAAGGTGGATATATTACAAGGGAATCTGAGAGGAACTCCTAATACGTAAACAAAACCATCCAGGTACCCCAAGAATTAAGAGTTCTCAGAGGTACAGATAAAGGGCCTATCAGAGCTCTCCTCATACAAAGGCCAAGTCCATGGAGGAGAGAGGTATATACATGAATAGAACATAAGACAGAAAATATATTCCAGACATATGAAAACATTAACATTTATAGAAGATTTGTAAGTCACATCTTCAGAAATGAATTGACAGCCAATAAGTTGCATCATCCTGTTTCTTCTTAATTACTTCAGAAAAAAAAAAATTGTTGACACTGATTATCTACTGAATGCCAGGCACCGTGCTTCGGTATCGATCATTATCCCATCAATGCCTCACACAGCACTAAAAGACAGAGAACTGGTATCCATATTTTACGGATGAGAGACCTAATGCTCAAGAGGTGAAGTTACTGGTCCAAGGTCACACAACGACTGATTAACTACAATCAACCCCGCTCTCTTCCACTAGACCGTGCAGCCTAATGAATTAAAAAGCAGAACGCAGGCTCATTGTTTTAAGTCTATAGTGGTTCTGAATAATTCAAGAGTAGGGTTGGAAGGTATATACACTATCAAGGTGAGGGTGGGAGGCATAGTCTCCACAGTATGCGAGCACTCCTTTGACCCAAACACTATCGTTCCCCCACCCCCACCTTTCCGTCCATGCTGAAATGTCCTCCAGGTTCCTGACCACTTGGCAAACTCTTGAGTCAGTAAGAACCAGGTGAAACTGCACCTTTGCCTTGAAGCCCTTCCAGTTTCTCCAGCCCACGTCAACACTGTAGGCTTTAAGCTCGCAGTTAACCTTTGTCACACAACACCTTTGTACTGTCCTTCTCCTGCTAGCACATGGATGTCCCGTTTCTCCAACTAGCTCAAGAGTCTTTAAGGGCAAGGATCATATTGTGCACTGCTCTGATTCCTTCCTCGGCTCTGAACAAAGTACATTCCATACATAGATGTGGGATGACAGCTGACCTTCAGCCTCTTCTCTCCCTGCACGTGTCATGCTATGTGGTGCAGAAACTCTTTGGGCACAGGCAGAGCACAGGGTCAAGAGCCAGTCAAGGAAATAACACTGAGCATGTTTATCTGTGCAACGAAAATTTAATTCAGCGTCTCCTGTTTCATTATATACCATTGTCATCTTTCCTAGACTCCTTGAGGCCTGACTTGGCTGCCTGCCTTGGCTTCAGCAGGCAGCTTCCTCTACAACTCGTTCCCAAAGATGGGGGTATTCGTTTCCTAGGGCGTGACAAATCACCACATCTCTGGCGGCTTGCAACAACGGAAATTTATTATTTCACAGCTTGGGGGCTAGCAGTCTGAAATCAAGGTGTTGGGAGGGTTATGCTTCCTCCAGAAGCTCTAAGGCTGGATTCCGTCCCTTGCCCCTTTCAGCTTCTCATGGTGCCGGTATTCCTTGGTGGTCTTTGCCTTGCGACCATGTCACTCCGATCTGTCTCCATAGTTAGATCATCTCCTCCTCTGTGGTAGTGTCTAATCTCCCTCTGTCTGCCTCTTAAAAGGACACTTGCGGTGGCATTGAGGGCCCTCCTGGATAATACAGGATAATTTCTTCATCTCAAAATCCTTCACTTAATCCCACCTGCAAACTCTTTTCCCAAATAAGGTCACATTCACGGGTTCTGGGGATTAAGACATAGACATATATTTCAGACTCTCACAGTGGGTATTTCTCAAAGTCTTGACTGTGGCCTTCCCTCTCTCTGCATCCTCCCCCCAAGTGACCTTTCACACTCTGCATTTCCAGCTGTCATCTTTGTGTGGTCATCTCCCCAAGTCACTTCTGCTTTTCTCCATCTCCTAAATTTCAAGCCCACCTTTCCTACTTGGTCTGCGTTTTCTCCTGAGAAATTCCATGTGTCCACAGAAATGCAATAAATGTTTAACATTCTGATAACAGAAAACGAAGTTCGGATTTCCTTTAAGCTCCTCATATATTTTGTTTAGTTCTTAGAAATTCTGTCTAAAATGTAAGTATTTTTCTCGATAAAACGAAATGCTTTGGCCTTCTTTCTTTCTGGCTCATTTCCAAGGTGCACTAGCTCTGGCTGCATCACGTGATAGAAGTTTGCCTGTGTAAAAGTGATTTGCTTTCATCTAAATGCCATTCCTGTGATTCAGAAGAGCTCAGTGCCACAGGAACATTTGTAGCTCTGTCAATGTTTTACAACTTGCAGCAATAACATCTATGTGTGCATCACTCTCCTGTCAGTTCTTAGATAAATTACTTTTCAGACCACTGGAAAACTATGTTTTGAATGTCACCACCATGAGCAACAAATAAGACTCACCTATTCCTACTTAAGAAACAAGCCGCCTGTGGAAT